CTTCTACGCTTTTTTGTAGTATATACACCAACTCAATATGCTCTCTCAGGTAAAATACAGAAATTCTAATTTTACCCGAATCGAAAAAATCTAAATATTATCCAGGCACCCCAATGTTAAAACAAAATTGCTCTGAATATAATCTGTCAGAAAAAATATACAAGGCCCTATTCTACAGTTTTTTTGGAGTATATACACCAACTCAGTATGCTCTATCTTGTAAAATACCATAATTCTAATTTTACGTGAATCGAAAAAAATCTAAATATTATCTAGGCACCCCAATGTTAAAAGCAAAAATTCTCTGAATATAATTTCTCATAAAAAATATACAATGCCCTATTTTACTCATTTTTGGAGTATACACCAACTCAACATGCTCTCTCATGTAAAATACAGAAATTCTATATTTAATCGAATCGAAAAAAATCTAAATATTATCTAGGCACCCAAATGTTAAAAACAAAATTTCTCTGAAAATAATCTGTAAAAGCAAAATTGTTCATAATATGTCAAAAAAATATACAATAGCATTTTCTACTTTATTTTTTAGTATATACACCAACTCAGTATGCTCTCTCATGTAAAATACAGAAATTCTAAATTTACCCGAATCGAAAAAAATTTAAATATTATCTAGGCACCCCAATGTTAAAAAGAAAATTGCTCTGAATATAATCTGTCAGAAAAAATATACAATGCCCTATTCTACTCTGTTTTGGAGAATATACACCAACTCCATATGCTCTCTCATGTAAAATACAGAAATTCCATATGTAATCGAATCGAAAAAAAATCTAAATATTATCTAGGCACCACAAGGTTAAAAGCAAAATTGCTCTGAATATAGTCTGTCAGAAAAAATATATAATGCCTTTTTCTACTCTGTTTTGTACTATATACAACAAATCAATATGCTCTCTTATGTAAATTGCAGAAATTCTAATTCTACCTGAATCGAAAATATCTAAATATTGCCTAGGCGCCCTGTTAGAAAATGTATACAATGCCTTATTCTACTTTTTTTTGGAGTATATACACCAACTCAGTATGCTCTCTCATGTAAAATACAGAAATTCTAATTTTACCCGAATCGAAAAAGTCTAAATATTATCTAGGCACCCCAATGTTAAAACAAAATTGATCTGAATATAATCTGTCAGATAAAATATACAATACCCTATTCTACTCTGTTTTCGAGTATATACACCAATTCCATATGCTCTCGTGTGAAATACAGAAATTGTATATTTAAGAGAATCGAAAATATCTAAATATTATTTATGCACCCCAATGTTAAAAACAAAATTACTCTGAATATAATGTCAGAAATAATATACAAGGCCCTATTCTACTGTGTTTTGGAGTATATACACCAACTCCATATGATCTCTCATGTAAAATACAGAAATTTTATATTTAAGCGAATTGAAAAAAATCTAAATAGTACCTAGGAACCCCAATGTGAAAAGAAAAATTGCTCTGAATATAATTACCTAGGCACCCCAATGTTAAAAACAATATTGTTCTGAATATAATCCGTCAGAAAACTATACAATGCCCTATTCTACTCTGTTTTGGAGTATATACACCAACTCCATATGCTCTCTCTTGTAAAATACAGAAATTCTATATTTAAGAGAATCGAAAAAAATCTAAATATTATCCTGGCACCCCAATGTGAAAAGCAAAATTGCTCTAAATAATCTGTCAGTAAAAATATACAATGCCCTTTTATACTCTGTTTTGTTGTATATACACCAATACAGTATGCTCTGTCATGTAAAATACAAAAATTTAATTTTACCCGAATCGAATAAATTTAAATATTATTTAGGCAATCCAATGTTAAAAAAAAAAAATTTCTGAATATAATCTGTCAGAAAAAAATATACAATACACTATTCCACTTTTTTTTGGAGTATATACACCAACTCATATGTCCTCTCTTATGTAAAATACAAAAATTCTATATTTTAGCGAATCGAAATAATATGGTCAGTTAGAAAAAATATACAATGCCTTATTCTACTCTGTTCTGGAGTATATACACCAACTCAGTATGCTCTCTCATGTAAAATATCAAAATTCTAATTTTACGTGAATCCAAAAAATTCTAAATATTATCTAAGCACCCGAAAGTTAAAAGCAAAATTGCTCTGAATATAATCTGTCATAAAAATATACAATGCCCGTTTCTACTCTGTTTTGGAGTATATACACCAACTCAGTATTCTCTCTCATGTAAAATACAGAAATTCTAATTATAACAGAATCGAAAAAATCTAAATATTATCTACGCACCCCAATGTTAAAAACAAACTTGCTCTGAATATATTCTGTCAGAGAAAATATACAATGCCCTATTCTACTCTGTTTTGTAGTATATACACCAACTCAATATGCTCTCTCATGTAAAATACAGAAATTCTAATTTTACCTGAATCGAAACAATCTAAATATTTTCCAGGCAACCCAATGTTAAAAACATTTCTCTGAATATAATCTGTCAGAAAAAATATACAATGCCCTATTCTACTCTATTTTGTAGTATATACACCAACTCAGTATGCTCTATCTTGTAAAATACCGGAATTCTAATTTTACGTGAATCGAAAAAATTGTAAATATTATCTAGGCACCCCAATGTTAAAAGGAAAATTTATTTGAATATAATTTGTCAGAAAAAATATACAATGCCCTATTTTACTCATTATTGGAGTATATACACCAACTCAATATGCTCTCTCATGTAAAATACGGACAGTCTAAATTTAAGTGTATCGAAAGAAATCTAAATAATATCTAGGCACCCTACAGTTAAAGCAAATGGCTCTGAATATAGTCTGTTAGAGAAAATATACAATGCCTTATTCTAGTCTATTTTGAAGTATATAAACCAACTCAGTGTGCTCTCTCATGTAAAATTCCGAAATTCTAAATTTACGTCAATCAAAAAAAACCTAAATATTGTCTAGGCACCCCAAAGTTAAACAAAATTTCTCTAAATATAATCTTTCAGAAAAAACCTACATTGCCCAATTTTTACTCTTTTTGGTGTATATACACCAACTCAATATGCTCTGTCATGTAAAATAGCGGAATTCTAATTTTACGTGAATCGAAAAAAATCTAAATATTATCTAGGCACCCCAATGTTAAAAGAAAATGTTTTTGAATATATTCTGTCAAAAAAAAATACAATGCCCTTTTCTACTTTGTTTTGGAGTATATAAACCAACTCAATATACTCTCTCATGTAAAATACCAAAATTCTAAATTTACGCGAATCAAAAAAAATCTAAATATTATCTAGGCACCCCAAGGTTAAGAGCAAAATTTTTCTGAATATAGTCTGTCAGAGAAAATATACAATGCCCTTTTCTACTTTGCTTTGGAGTATATACACCAACTAAATATGCTCTCTCATGTAAAACACCGAAATTATAATTTTACGCAAATCGAAGAAATTCTAAATAAAGAAAATGGCTATAAATATAATCTGTCAAAAAATATACAATGCCTTATTCTACTCTGTTTTGGAGTATACACACCAACTCAATATGCTCTCTTATGTAAAATACTGAAATTCTGATTTTACGCCAATCGAAAAAAATCTAAATAATATGTAAGAACCCCAATGTAAAAAGCTAAACTTCTCTGAATATAATCTGTCATAAAAAGTATACAATGCTCTTTTCCACTCTGTTTTGGAGTATATACACCAACTCAATATGCTCTCTCATGTAAAACACTGAAATTCTAATTTCTCGCGAATCGAACAAACTCTAAATATTACCTAGGCACAGCAATGTTAAAAGCAAAATTGCTCTGAATATAATCTGTCAGAAAAAATATACAATGCCCTATTCTACTCTGTTTTGGGGTATATACACCAACTCAATAGGCTCTCACATGTAAAATACCGAAATTCTAATTTACATGAATCGAAAAAAATGTAAATATAATGTTATAAGCAAAATTTCTCTGAATATAATCTGTCAGAAAAAATATTCAATGCCATTTTCTGCACTGTTTTGGATTATATACACCAACTCAATATGCTCTCTCATGTAGAATACCGAGATTCTAATTTTACATGAATCGAAACAATCTAAATATTATCTAGGCACACCATTGTTAAAAGCAAAATTTCTCTGAATATAATCTGTCAGAAAAAATATACAATGCGCTATTCTACTTTGTTTTGGTGTATATACACCAAGTCAATATGCTCTCGCATGTAAAATACCGAAATTCTAATTTTACGCGAATCGAAAAAACTCTAAATATTATCTACGCACCCCAATGTTAAAAGCAAAATTACTCTGAATATAATCTGTCAGAAATAATATACAATGCACTTTTCTACTCTGTTTTGGAGTATATACACCAACTCAATATGCTCTCTCATGTAAAATACCGAAATTCTAAATTTACGAGAATCGAAAAAAATCTAAATATCACCCCAATGTTAACAGTAACATTGCTCTGAATATTATCTGTCAGAAAACATATAAAATGCGCTTTTCTACTCTGTTTTGGAGTATATACACCAACTCAATATGCTCTATAATTTAAAATATGGAAATTCTAAATTTACACGAATCGAAAAAAATCTAAATATTATCTAGGCAACCCAATGTTAAAAGCAAATTTGCTCTGAATATGATCTGTCAGAAATAATATACAATGCCCTATTCTACTCTGTTTTGGAGTATATACACCAATTCAATATGCTCTCTTGTGTAAAATACTGAAATTCTAAATTTACGCTAATCGAAAAAAATCTAAATATTATCTAGGTACCCCAATGTTGAAAGCAAAATTGCTCTCAATATAATCTGTCAGAAAAAATATACAATGCCCTTTTCTATTGTGTTTTGGAGTGTATACACCAACTCAATATTCTCCCTCATGTAAATTACCCAAATCCTAACATTACTCTAAGTATCTCATAAAGTGCCCCTTGATGTTGTTTTTTATAACTAGGGGATTACAGATGACATTACTCACGATATGACTGCGGCTGTTTGCCGGTCCTGTGATAATGTTTCTAATATCCAGAGAAGGAGAGGGGAATGTTTCTGCCCATAGGCAAATCCTCTGAATACGGCAAGAGGAGTACACCGTGCTGTGATATTTTCACTAATGTAAACAAGAAAACAATTATATTGAATTAAATATTGCAAGGTGTTAACCCCCCTTATAATTTTCCTTGTAATTTCAAGGGGTTGAGGAGGACATTTTTGTCAAAATGGCGGAGGTGTAACTTCAGCTATTGTCTACTATATAATAAAAATGATAAAATTATTATTTACATATGATACGATTGCCAGTATCATATTACACCACATTTTCAAAATATCTGGGCCCCAGCAGCTGTGGGCATGGCAGCCAAGCGAGGGTGTCCCTATGCAACCAGGTTGGGCATTGCAGCTGCTACCGGCCTTTGTGATTTGTCTGGGGGGCTGCTTCGGGCCCTCTGGTGGTGGCTGTGGTAACAGCCACATAGCCAGAGGGTCTCTCAGCATCCAGGGAGGGCCTGGCGGCTGCTACTGTCACTCTGGCAGGGGCTATGGGCACAGCCACCTAACCAGGGGTTCCCTACGTAGCCAGGGTGGGGCTGGAAGCTGCTATAGGCCCTTTGGCGGGAGGTGTGGGATACCCTGCTCTTCACAGGTACACAGTTTGCACCTATTTCTACATGTGTAGATCGTTTACATAATGGGCACATATTTGTACACATGTACATATAATATATCACAATAAACATATATGTACATAATATGTGTACAATAAATATGTACTTTATACGTACCTAATATAAACAATATGTACTTTTGGGTGATATTATGTGATATCTACATATTATTGATTATATATCTTATTGTGATAATATGTATGTTACCACTGAAATTTTTAGAAATGTACATAGAGTACACTTTATGTACCTATGCAATGTGTACACATTATATATAGAAATAAATAGGTACATATTTTACAGATTAGGTACATTTTTTCTACATGTGTATTTTGTACACATATGTACAGCAGAGTAAATGTACAGACTATACCTATTTTATATATTTATTGTGATATGTCAATAAATGTACACATGAGTACATTCTGGGATATAATTTTTAGCATATTAGACAGGAATTACACCGGTGACCAAAGTGGGTTTACACCCAGGTGTGCACATAGTTTATACATGTACATGTTGTGCTTATTATGTACTCATGTACAGAATGTACATGTCTACATTATATATACATAGGTGTACGCAGCACACATATGTACATACTGTGCACACATATGTACACGTGCATATATTGTACATCTGTACATAATGGGTACATGATGTACATGTGTACACATCATATCACAATAAATGTAAATATACATAATGTTTGCAATATGTACGTTTATATTATGTATTACGTTTATTGTGATTATATATGCTGTTGTGATATGATATCATTGTGACATTACAAATGTACATACGATACACATTATGTACCTATGCATTGTGCACAGATTATAGAAATAGAAAGAAACATATTTTACAGGTTATGTACATTTTATTTACTTGTGTATTGGGTACACAGAGTAAATGTACAGATCTTACTTACTTTATACATTTATTGTGATATGCCAATAAATGTACACATTATGAGTACATTCTGTGATATTACATTTAGAATATAAGACTAGAAATTACTCTGGTTACCAAAGTGGGTGTAAACTTATGTGTGCACATATTTTGTACATGTACATACTGTGCATATTATGTACTTGTGTACAGAAGGTAAATATCTACATTATATGTATGTATGGGTACAGAGCGTACATATGTACATACTATGTACATATACCTACACCTGAATTTATTGTACATCCGTACATAATGGGTCCATGCTGTACATGTAAACACATCGTCATACCACAATAAATGGAAATGTACATAATGTGTGAAATACGTACATTTATATTATGTATTACATGTGTATTGTGATTGTATATGCTGTTCTGATATCATTGTGATATTACAAATGTACATATTGTACACATTATGGACATACCTATTGTGTACATATTATGTACACATAAATGTACATATTGTACAGATTATGTATATTTATTGTACATCTGTATGGTGCACACATATGTACATCACAGTCAACGTACATATGGTACATATTCTGTGCATTGTTTGTAATATTTCAGTAAGAGTACACATTATAAGTATATTCTGGGATATGATTTTTAGTATGTTAGATAAAAATTACTTTCAATATCAAAGTGGGTATACACTTATGTGTGTCCATTTTGTGATATTATCCATCATATCCTGAGTAGGTATTTCTCTCATTGTGAAAGCAGGTTTACACTCTCGGATTGCTCCAATATCAAGGCAAACTAAAACTCGTCTGTGATGTAGTTAATAATATCCTGAGGACAAAGGATGACCATACCCTGAATATCGCAGGAAGTGCCACCACTGTAGTATTGTTTCTAATGTTCAAAAACGGAAAGGATATTACTCCAAATATCTCAGAAAGCACACAAGCACCCCGTGATATTGTTTCTAATAACTAGAGAATTACAGATGACATTACCCACGACGTGACTGGGGCTGTACTCTGGTCCTGGAATATTGTTCCTAATATCCAGAGAAGGAGAGGAAAATGTTGCTGCCCATAGGGAAATACTCTTAATACGGCAAGAGGTGTACACCATGCTTTGATATGGTCACTAATGTAAGCAAGAAAAACAATTACATTGAATTAAGCATTGCAAGGAATGAAACTCCCCTATGATTTTCATTCTAATGTCAATGGGGGTGAGGATGACATTTTTGTCAATATGGCAGAGGTGTAACTGGAGCTATGCCTAATATACAAAAAAACAGAATAAGATTATCATTTTTATATAATATGGTTGCCAGTATCATATTACACCTGATTTGCAAAATAGCTGGGCCTCAGCAGCTGTGGGCAGCCCACAAGCGAGGGGACCCCTAAGCAGCCAGGGTGGGCCTGGGGGCTGCTCTGGGCTTTTTGGTGGGGTCTGTGAGCACATCGACCCAGCCAGGGGTCCCTGAGCAGCCATGGTTGGCCTGGGGGCCGCTACGGGCACTCTGGCATGGGCTGTGGGCACAGACACCTAGTCAGGGGGTCCCTAAGCAGCCAGGGTGGGCATGGGGGCTGCTACAGGCATTCGAGCAGTGTTTGTGGGCACAGCCCAATTGCCAGGGGGTCTCTAAGCAGCCAGGCTGGGCCTGGGGGCTGCTATAAGGGGGGCTTTGGTAATAGCGTGCTGTGCATCGGTACATAGTTTGCACCTATTACTACATGTGTAAATTGTTTTAATATCGGGTATATATATGTACATGCATACATATGGTGTTATCACGATAAATTTATATTTACATAATATGTGCAAAATACATATGTACCTAATGCATACCTAATGTGTACAATATGTACTTTTTTGTAATATTAGACAATATATATTACTGTGATTATATATCTTATTGTGATTAAATATATTTTATCACTAATATTTTAAGGAATGTGCATAGTGTACACATTATATACCTATGTATTGTGTACACAATATAGAAATATATAGGTACATATTTTACAGATTATGTACACTTTTTCTACATGTGTATTGTGTACACCTATGCACAGCAGAGTAAATAGTACAGACTGTACCTATTTTATACATTTCTTGTGATATGCCAATAAATGTACTCATTATGAGTACATTCTAAAATATAATTTTTACCATATTAGAAATTACTCCATTGACCAAAGTGGGTGTACACCCAGGTGTGTACATAGTTTATACGTGTACATATTGTGCATATTAGGTACTCATGTACAAAATGTACATGTCAACATTATATGTATTTATGTGTACATAGTGTGCACATGTACATACTGTTCACACATATGTACATGTGCATATTTTGTACATGTGTACATAATGGGTACATGATGTGCATGTGTACACACCGTGATATACCACAATAAATGTAAATGTACACGATGTGTGCAATATGTACATTTATATTATGTATTACTTGTGTATTGTGATTTTATATGCTGTTGTGATTATATGATATCATTGTAATATTACAATAAATGTACATATTGCACACATTTCGTACATACCTATTGTGTACACATTATGTACCTGTAATTGCACATATTGTACAGATTATGTACGTTTTTGGTACATCTGTATTGTGTACACATATGTACATAACACTCTATGTACATATGGTATGTATTCTGCACATTGATTGTAACATCTCAATAAGTGTACACATTATGAGTATATTGTGATATATGATTTTTAGTATATTAGATAAAAATTTCTTTCTATATCAAAGTGGGTATACACCCATGTGTGTCCATTTTTGATATTATCCATCATATTTTAAGTAGGTATTACTCTCATTTTGAAAGCAAGTGTTCACTCTGTGATTGTTCCAATATCACAGGCAAAGTACAAGGCTTCTTTAATGTACTACCTAATATCCTGGGACAAAAGATTATTATACCCTGAATATCGCAGGAAGTGTACACCACCACTGTAGTATCGTGTCTAATATCCAAAAACGGAAAAGATATTACTCCAAGTATCTGATAAAGCACACAAGACCCCCGTGATATTTTTTCTAATAACTAAGGGATTACAGATGACATTACTCACGATATGACTGGGGCTGTCCGCCGGTCCTGTGATATTGTTCCTAATATCCAGAGAACGAGAGAATAATGTTGCTGCCCATAGGCAAATCCTCTGAATACGGCAAGAGGAGTACACTGTGCTCTGATATGGTCACTAATGTAAACAAGAAAACAATTTTATTGAATTTAACATTGCAAGGGGTGAAACCCCCTTATGATTTCAATTCTAATGTCCAGGGATGTGAGGATGACATTTTTGTCAATATGGCAGAGGTGTAACTAGAACTATTGCCTAGTATATCAAAAACCAGAATAACATCATTTCCATATGATATGGTAATATGGTCGACAGCATTATATTACACCACATTTTCAAAATAGCCGGGCACAGCGCCCTAGCCGGGGGATCCCTAAGCAGCCAGCGTCAGCCTGGGAGCTGTTATGGGCCCTCTGGCGGGGAATGTGGTTACAGCTCCCTAGCCAGGGGGTCTTTAAGCAGCCAGGTGGGCCTTGGGGCTGCTACGAGGGGGGCTGTGGTAATAGCCTGTTCTGAACAGGTACATAGTTTTATTTTATTTATTTATTTTTATTTTTTTTTTGAGACGGAGTTTTGCTCTTGTTACCCAGGCTGGAGTGCAATGGCACGATCTCGGCTCACCGCAACCTCCGCCTCCTGGGTTCAGGCAATTCTCCTGCCTCAGCCTCCCGAGTAGCTGGGATTACAGGCACGCGCCACCATGCCCAGCTAATTTTTTGTATCTTTAGTAGAGACGGGGTTTCACCATGTTGACCAGGATGGTCTCGATCTCCTGACCTCGTGATCCACCCGCCTCGGCCTCCCAAAGTGTGCTGGGATTACAGGCTTGAGCCACCGCGCCCGGCCTAGGTACATAGTTTTAATAATGAACACATATTTGTATAAGTGTACACATGGTGTTATGATAAATATATATGTACATATGTGCACAATACATATAGACCTAATGCGTATCTACTGTGTACAATATGTACTTTTTTGTGATATTACATGATATATATATATTACTGTGATTATATGCGTTATTTTGATTATATATATTTTATCACTGATATTTTAAGGAATGTGCATAGTGTACACATTATGTACCTATACATTGTTTACACATTATAGAAATATGTAGGTACATATTTTACAGAGTATGTACATTTTTTGTACATGTGCATTGTGTACACATATGTACAGCAGGGTAAATGTACAGATTGTACCTATTTTATACATTTATTGCAATATGCCAATAAATGTACACACTATTACTACATTCTGAATTATTATATTTTGTATATTAGATAGAAATTTCTCCGGTTACCAAAGTGGTTGTGTACACCCAGGTGTGTACATCGTTTATATGTGTACATATTGTGCATAGAATGTACTCGGGTACAGAAGGTACATATCTACATTATATGTACACATGTGTAGTGTACATATGTACATACTGTACCCACATATGTACACTTGCATATATTGTGCATCTGTACATAATGGGTACATGATGTACATGTTCACATATCATATCACAATAAATGTAAATGTACATCTTGTTTGCAATATGTACATTTATATTGATATTACATATTACATGTGTATTGTGATTTTATATGCAGTTGTGATTATATAACATTGTGATATTACAATAAATGTACATATTGTACACATTATGTGCATACCTATTGTGTGCACGTTTTGTACATATATTCGTACAAATGATACAGTTTATGTACATTTATTGTACATCTGTATTGTGTACATGTATGTACATCACAGTCAATGTACATATGTTACATATTCTGTACATTGAGTGTAATATCCCAATAAGTCTACACATTATGAGTTTTTTCCGGTTATGACTTTTAGTATATTAGATAAAAATGACCTCCAATATCACAGTGGGTATATACCCATGTGTGTCCATTTTGTGATATTATCCATCATATCCTAAGTAGGTATTTCTCTCACAATGAAAGAAGGTGTACACTCTGTGATTGTTCCAATATTATAGGCAAAGTGCAACGCTTCTGCGATGTAGTTCCTAATATCCCAGGGACAGAGGATGAGTATACTCTTAATATCGCAGGAAGTGTACACCACCACTGTAGTATTGTTTCTAATATCCAGAAACTAAAAGGATATTACTCCAAATACCTCCAAAAGCACACGAGACCCCCGTTACATTGTTCTTAATAACTAGGGGATTACAGATGACATTGCTCACGATGTGACTGGCGCTGTAAGCCGGTCCTGTGATATTCTTCCTAATATCCAGATAAGGAGAGAAAAATGTTGCTGCCCATAGAGAAATATTCTGAATACTGCAAGAGATGTACACCGTGCTCTGATATGGTCACTAATGTAACAAGAAAACAATTATATTGAATTAAACATTGCAAGGGGTGAAACCCTCCTATGCTTTCAATTCTAATGTCAATGGGGTGAGGATGACATTTTTGTCAATATGCCAAATGTGTAACTAGAACTATTGCCTAATATGTAAAGAACCACAATAACATTATCATTTCTGTGTGATAGGTTGCCAGTATCATATTACACCACATTTTCAAAATAGCCGGGCCCCAGCAGCTGTACCCACAGCCCCCTAGCCAGGGGGTCTTTAAGCAGCCAGGGTGGGCATTGAGGCTGCTACGAGCAGAACTGTAGTGATAGCCTGCTGTGCATAGGCATGTAGTTTGCACCTATTTCTGCATGTGTACATTGTTTAAATAGTAGGCACATATTTGTATACGTGTACATACGGTGTTATCATGATACATATATATTTTCATAATATGTGCACTATACATATGTACCTAATACATACCTAATGTGTACAATAGTACTTTTTGGTGATATTACACGACATATATGTATTAGTGTGATTATAGATCTTACTGTGATTATATATATTTTATCACTGATATTTTAAGGAATGTGCATAGTGCACACATTATGGACCTATGCATTGTGTACACATTATAGAAATATATAGGTACATATTTTACAGATTATGTACATTTTTTGTACATGTGCATTGTGTACACCTATGTACAGCAGAGTACATGTACAGATTGTGCCTATTTAATACATTTATCACAATACGACAATAAATGTACACACTATGACTACATTCTGGGATTTTACATTTAGTATATTAGATAGAAATCTCTCCGGTTACCAAAGTGGGTATACACCTATATGTGTACCTAGTATATACGTGTACATATTGTACATACTGTGTACTCCTGTACAGATGGTACATATCTTCATTATATGAACATATGTGTAGTGTACATATGTACATACTGTGCACTTACGTACACGTGTATATACCGCAAATCTGCACGTGTGCATGATGTACATGTGTACATATCGTAATATCACAATAAATGTAAATGTATATAATGTGTGCAATATGTACATTTATATTGATATATGTATTATATGTGTATTGTGATTATATATGCTGTTGTGATTATATGAAATCATTGTATTACAATATATTTACATATTGTACACATTATGTACATACCTACTGTGTACACATTATGTACATATAAATGTAATATTGTACAGATTATGTACATTTTTTTGTACATCTGTATTGTGTACACATATGTACATCACAGTCAACTGTACATAAGGTACATATTTTGTACGTTGATTGTCATATCCCAATAAGTGTACACATTATGAGTATATTCTGGGATATGATTTATAGTATATAAGAAAAAAGTTACTTCCAATATCAATGTGGGTATACTCGCATGTGTGTCCATTTTGCCGTACCTTCTATTAATCTTTGCCATTGAACATGATAGTGAGAGGTGGTTCTTTTCTCTAACAAGGTTTAAAAGGTTTTCTGTTAATATAACTCAACTCTACTACCTTGTAGCCTCTTTATCTTCCATTGTAAATTGTAATTACCTGTAAAAGAAATATTTTGACATCACGTATCTACCTCTTGGATCCATCAGCCAGAGGCCTAAAATAAAAAAGACATTCACCCCACGAATGGTTATATAGTGGTTGACAACCCCACTTTCTTCTAGGTAAATAATATCCTCTCTTTAACAGTAGCTACTTACAAGATTTGTGCATAAAGAATGTGACTTTTTTATCAGTATCTAGTTTATTCTTACATAAATTTCTAAAATACTGAGAGAATATTCTGATCATTGGTCATATACTATTTTAATTTAATTTTTTCCTCTCAAATTTTATCTTAACTGCATACTCTACCCTGTTTATAAGACTGCCCTATGGTTAAATTTAGTAGGTAGTAAATTATCCTGGGCACACAGAACAATTCTTTTTGTAATCAACTCTGAAAATCATAGAAAGAGCAAGGATATGGGAATGAGGATTTATCTGGCTTTTATTTCTGGTACTTACTTGCTCTCTGACCTTGGGCAACTTATGTATTGCTCTGAGTCTCATCTTCTTCATCTGTAAAATGATCATAGTAATACCTAATTCATATGCAGCTTGGAAATGTGTAATTTAGTGATTGATATAAAGTTCCTGATACAATTTCTGACAAAATAATAGACACCCCACGAGAGATAACCATAACAGTCAGAGTTTATATTCACATTAACTGGGATAAAATTGATCTGAAAATACAGCATAAAAAAGCAGCCAAAAATTCACAAGCATATATTTCGCTTGCCTTTTTATACAGAGCTGGAAAATTTCTCATCATTATCTCATCCATGGCCTGCAGCACGATCCTTCCAAAACTCCTCCTAAGACCGTCTGCCAAGGTGGAACACACTGAACCGCATGTGACTCTGCCTTTTCTGACTATTTTTGCAAGATTTTTCTCATAGAGTATTATTAACAGAAAATGGGGCTGTTATCGGTGACTAGGAATGGTGCATTCTCAGTTCAGGCTCTGATGGAATGTCTACTTGATCTGGTGCAACTCCAGCTGTGCTCTTGGCTTTCCTCACTTTTGTGGTTCCGAGAATGCAAATATTCTCCCATGGCTTCCTTATTTTGTCTTTCTCCATGAGGTCTCATTCAAGTATAAACATTCCCTTCAATTTTCTCAACTCATTTTATATTGTCTGAATAACCTTGATAATTTTCCCTTTCCTAAAGCTATAGACCTTCTTTTTGTGTGTAAGAACAGATTACTCACAAATGTTTACTGTCCGCTAAACATTTATGTGTAATCGGTCCTTAATTCTACACACAAAATATCATCTCTACCAACATTTTACAACTATAGTCTTTCTATAGAGAACTATGAAAGGAACTTGCTCTAAAGGAGAAACTTCCAGAGCTAAACCAAGGGTATGACAATTGTTAACAATATGTTATTCAGTAAAATATTTTTTCAGTTAACAGAGAAGAATGCCATGGACAAAATGGCAAAACAGAACTTTTCAGCACTTATTCCTTCACAGAAACATCAATTTGAACAGCCATCCGTGCATCAAAGTGTCTTCAAAAGAGACAAGGAATCCAGGTGAGAGGTTATAGCACGTTTGTGGAGTAGAAAAGTAAGAAAAACAGCATAAAATAGAGTATAACAGAGAGTTTTCTATTATCTGCATTACCCCGTCCCTAAACCTGGGTAGTGCAGCATGGAAAGAGATACCATGTATGTGCAGAGAGGAGAGTAAATGTAACACCTGACTTCAACATCAACTCCAATGCCAGGCACAATTCAGTGAACTCAACACCAGGCAGGTTTCTATAGCCACAGGCTATGGGACAGACCCTGTCAACCCAAGCTCCAGGCCTTCCCCTATGGCTCTAAGATCTAATGCCTCCAACCTCCATGGCTCCTACCGACATAGGCTCCAGGCCTTCGCCACAACCAGGCCATTTATGGCTTCCCCAGGCTCCACACTGGACTCGTAAGTGCCTGGATAAACAAACCTCTACATCGACACAGTGGAATATTATTCAGCAATGAAAGCAATAATCTTTGAATGTGGCTTTTGTTGCAGAAAAAAAGCACGTGAGCTATGAAGCCATTAAAAGACATAGAGGAAACTCAAATACATACTACTAAGTGAAAGAAACAATCTCAAATGACCACTTACTATATGAATCCAACTATATGACATTCTGGAAAAGGCAAAACTATAGAGACATCAAAACGTTCAGTGATTGCTGGGGGTTGAAAAGTGGGGAAGGATAAATGGGCAGAGCATAGAGGATGTTTAGGGCAATGAAACTACTCTGTGTGTTACTATAATGGTAGACACATGCCATTACAGCCTTGTCAAAACTCACTGAATATACGACAGCAAGAATGGTCCCTAATGTCAATTATAAACTATGGGTGACAGTGATAAGTCAATGTTGGTTCATCCATTGTAACAAATGTACCTCTCTAGTGAGGAAAGGCTGATAGTGGAGGAGGCTGTGCATTTGGGGAGGTGGGAATGTAGGAACTCTCTGTACTTTCCACTATGCCTCACTATTCACTTTACACTGCTCTAAAAATAAAGCGTATTTTAAAAAAGATTGAGCTGTTGATATAAGCCCAATGTCTACTTTGACGTCCAGAAATGTTTCTTTTAAAACGCTAATACACCACTTCCTGGAAGAAAATATTTGTTAACAAATTCTTTTCTAGAACAATTATTTTTGTGGGTGTTCCTGTCACAACTATACATAAAATCAGAATATGCAGCAACATCTTGATACTCTAAAATACAATACCAAAAACGTTAAGAAAATCATTTCTAAATTTGATCTAAGCCAAAATGTGGAGAAGCAAAAGCGAAGAAAATTATTTCTGTATAATGAGATTATAGGTTGTTTCTCCGAACTCCTCTACACTTTTCAGTATTTTCCAACTTCTATCATGGAGATATATAAATATAGAAGTAGATATGTATACTCATTAGATATATATTTATATATAATAAACAAACAGATACCGTTTTATTTTTATTATTTATTTATTATTTATTTTTTGAGACGGAGTTTCGCTCTTGTTTCCCAGGCTGGAAGTGCAATGGCGCGATCTTGGCTCACCACAACCTCCACCTCCTGGGTTCAGGCAATTCTCCTGCCTCAGCCTCCTGAGTAGCTGGGATTACAGGCACGCGCCACCAAGCCCAGCTAATTTTTTGTATTTTTAGTAGAGATGGGGTTTCACCATGTTGACCAGGATGGTCTCGATCTCTTGACCTCGTGATCCACCCGCCTCGGCCTCCCAAAGTGCTGGGATTACAGGCTTGAGCCACTGCGCCCGGCCTACAGATACCATTTTTAAAAGATATATTTATGTATTTTATATATTTATATAACATATACATGTTCATATATACATCATGTTATCACCATTATGGATATAAAGAAGGACATTAAAATAGTGAAAAGATTAAAATAAAATGAATGTACCAAAATGGAAACAGTGATTTAACTCTGCCTAGCTTTATGTGATTAAACAAGGTATTTTTCAAATCTATTTTTCTTTGCTTTCTAGAGGCTTTATAATAAATCTATATTTTTATATTTAAAAGCCTAATTTTTATTAAACAAATAAAAATTCAGCAACACTGTCTTTAGAACATTTTTAAATCAACTTGAGCATGAAGAAAATGTTATGACTACTGGTGGTGAGCATTTTGAAAGATTAGCAGAAGCAGGGATAATGTGACATTTAGCTGATCTTTCAAGGGAAGCTAGACAAATGACACTTTTCGAAAAGAAAATAGTAACTAGTGTTGAAACATGGTATCGCCAGTATGATTAAGAAGGAAAGTGTCAACTTCTTCTGTGGAAAATCCTAACATTACCAAACGTAAGAAGGCAAATACTTCAACAACAGAAATGAAAAATATCTTGATTCATTTATTTAACACTTTTTTAGAGTTTAATCCCAAAAAGTCTATTTTGAAGAAAAGAAAAAATCTTACTCGTGTATATTACCCTTTGCAGTGAACTGGCCAAATAAGTCTATCCAAGGTACGTTGAATACCGAGCATGTTGGAAACATTTTATTACATCATCTCTAATCCCTACAACAATAGTGCAAGGAAGGTTTAACATCTTCTTTTTACAGAGAGGAAAGCTGAGGCTCAAAGAGGTATAGTAGCTCATTTAACATTACACATCTAATACGTGGTGGAGGTGGGACCTATACTTACATCTGTCAGACCTTAAAGTCTGTGTTCTTCTTTCTACCTCTCTGCCTCAGTCCAACAATTGGGATCTTTGCCATGATGCCTCACGAGTTCACGAGGCACTTTTCAGGAAGTTTTTGACTCAGACTTTATCACTCAGCAAGATACCTCAACTAATTTACAAAATGTGACTTGAAAAGCAGGTTGTAATTCCAAAAGCAAAAATCCAACCACAAAAGATAAAGTCTTAATCAGTAGAGCTTTACAGAAGGAAGTAGTAAGGGCACTTTCGGAAATGTCTGGAATCAGAGGAGTCGATGTATCACCTGTTAGAAATTGTACTCGCTTGGTAGCAAAATTTTCCTTGTGTTCACTTAAAATAATAATCTTGTTGTTTTAAAACCAACGCACAGTCAGAGGGTGACTTGGATGTTATTTTTTATTCTCTTTGCTTTCTTGTTTTAAGAATGGATTTTTCTTAAATTCTAATTATTATTGTAACTTACATAAGTGCAGCCGATTTTGCTTTTAAGGATAAAACTACATTTAAGTAGCTTTGTCTGGATTATCAAAACCAGGCCCTGAAGAAGTGAGTTCCTAAAGGGTAGGAACTTTGCTTATGTCTATATCTCAGTTGTGTTAAACAGAATAACTGGCGCAAATTAGCAAATGATGCACTGAGGAATCATAGAACAAAAGACTTTATGAAGAACTAAGTTTCAGATTCAGGGTGACGCTAAGGAGCTAGTGTACCAGAGGATGGTATGCCCTGCAATCACAAAAGCAGCATTCAGTCTGATCTGGGCTCTAAGAAGTGCTCCTTGAGACCTGACATTTTATCCTAACACTGCCACTAACAGGTTAAGTCAGAAAGAGTTCACTTCCCAGAGCTTTCGATTTCTGGTTTCCAAATCAGCACAATGAGAAACTGAAAAGAAGGAAAGAGGAAAAAATGAGAGGGTCAGAGATCCCTCCTGCTTGTACAATGCCATGATTTGGACACAGGGTTTGGGCAACCATGGCCCATCCACCAATTCCTGCCTGTCGTCTCTTGTCAGACAGCTCATGAGCCACGAATGTGAAAGAATTCAAAAAAGTAACAATATCTTGGGACATGTCAACAATTATATAAAATGCAATTTTCAGTTCTCATAAAAGTACTTTGGAACTCAGCCCCACTCCTTTATTACCCATTTCTATGGCTGCTTTCACACCACAACCGCAGAGATAAGTAGCTGTGACAGAGACCATATGGGCTGCCAAGCCTAAAATATTTACTGCCTAGACCTTTCCAGAAAAAAAAAAAAAAGGATTGCTGATCTGTTACACAGACAATCAAGCAAGCGATCACCTGAGAACATTAAATCTGTGTCTAGGACAAATGGGGCCTATAAAACTAGGGAATAATCTTCCCCACTACTTATGCAAGAACATTCACCCTTGAGAGAGCAGGCTACATGGCTTGGCAGCACTACTGCCACCAGTCCAGACTTCCCCTCACCTGTGCCCTATAAGTGACCAGCATTTCTAGGCATTCGTGGAGCAGCGGGGTGCATTCTCATGTCTGGCCCCACACCTTCCCTTCCTCCTGCTTCCTCACATTCTATTTTCTGAGTGGTTGTCAAAGGAACGCTGAATTTTGCTGTCACTTTTCAGACCCCAATTCCACTTATGACAGTCTTGGTACCAGGAAGCATTCCGAGCTCCTATCTCATCACCACAACCGCCTGCTTCTCACTTAGTCCAGACGAGCTTGCCACAGTGCACTTGCTTTTTTAATCGCCCTCTCTCTTCTTGCCTTCACCTCCTCTCCCTCCCTCTCTCCCTGGCTCTTTCTGTCACAAGGGTGTGTGCACATACACAAGTTCCGATCAGATAAAAGAAGAAACACTTTTTAAGTTTCTTTCTAGGCCTAATAGAAAATTCTTTTTTTTTTTTTTTTTTTTTTTTACAAAAACAGAGCTGTTTTTTTCCATTGCAAAAGTGTGGGTGTCCTTCCTTTTGGAGAGTAACAATCATTTTCTACATGGCCTTCTGACACATTGCATGTTGTACATATGTGTGTGTGCACATGTGCATATGAGTGTTAGAGTGTGTGTGTGTAGCAGGGAGGAAAGAGATGAAGGAGAGTGTGTATGTGCATGTTGGTTCCTATGAGTGTGAGTGTGTGCATGAACGTGCCTGTGTGTGTGCACATGTGTATGAGCATGCTTGTATTTGCGTATGAGAATGTGCATGTGAGAGAGAAAGAATGCATGTATGTGTGAATGTGTATGTATGTGTGTGCATAGCAGGGAAGAAGGGGATGAAGGAGAGTATGCTAAAAAAAGAACACCTCAGAACAGTCAAATAAATATTCCATATCAACATCATATCTTGTTAAAATACAGGATTCCCAAGTCAGTCACCTTCAAGCTGGAAGCCTGGAGTGTAAAAAGAGTGGGTGTTCTTCTCTGACAACTTATTGTCTAAGACAATTTTATGATCAAAAATATATTCGAATAAAAGTACCTGAGAAAAGTACATAAAGAGAATATAGCAAAATGTTAACAATGGTTTTCTTTGGGTGAGAGGAAGAAGAGGCAGGTTGTGGTTGATCTGTTTCTTTTAGTTCAACTATTCTGCATTCCTCACTTTTAAATTTTGGATATTAAGCTGGAGAGAAAGAACATGAATATAAAGATTAATCCGCTGAATGGAGCAACGAATGCTGAGTTAGCCAAAATGTATGGCAGCTTCTATATCTAATTATCTGAGGGCAAATCAGAAAACACCACTTTCAAATTTTTTTTTTTTTTTAGAAATGAAGTTTCGCTCTTGTTGCCCAAGCTGGAGTGCAATGGCACAATCTCGGCTCACCGCAGCCTCCGCCTTTTGGGTTCAGGCAATTCTCCTTCCTCAGCCTCCCGAGTAGCTGGGATTACAGGCACGCACCACCATGCCCAGCTAATTTTTTGTATTTTTAGCAGAGACAGGGTTTCACAATGTTGACCAGGATGGTCTCGATCTCTTGATCTTGTGATCCACCCACCTCGGCCTCCCAAAGTGCTGGGATTACAGGGTTGAGCCACCGCGCCCAGCCAGAAATGTTTAAAAATGTGTTTTACGTTATTTTCCCTATCAGCCTAAGGACTAAAAATTGAACACAACTGGATCTGCGACATTGCCTCAAAGATTCTTAGCCTAGTTCCAGATCCATTGTCTGGACACTCCTGCTTTTTCGACAGAAAACAGGGCTAAATTCCTATTGACTTCCAAATACACAGACCCACAGATTTGTCACACAGTAGCCTCTCTCTCTCATCCTGTCTCTGTCCGTCTGAGTCTCTCTTTCTTTCTCTCTCTCTTCCCTCACATCAACCCCAAATCAGAATGCATATATAAAAATTTGATTAACTGAAACATAGAATGATCAAGATTTTACTACAAGAGAAATACACAGACTTCAGCTAAGATGTTTGGTTGAATACCTGCATATGCCTTCACTCCATCATTAAACCACATTAACATGGGATGATTAAAAATAAATAAACCAACAAAGATAAAAAGAAAATAAAGACAATCCCTTCAGCATATAGAAAACTGGCAAGCAGAAGCTGTCAGTGACACCTGACAGTAGACCCAGAGATGCTAAATCCCAAGCCAGTGGCAGGAAGGTAACCAGGATCCCCAAGGGTTCAAGAGTTGGCAGCTAAATTTACCTAGGGAATTTATGTTTCAGTAGTAGGTAGATCCCAGATCCTCTCCCTAGAATCGGTGCCTGCATCCCACAGTGGTGGCAGGGGAGGTTTCCTCTCTATACAGTAAAATTTGGTGTCTCTAGGCAGGAGCTCTCTAGACACAAGTGCTTAAATGTACACACTGAACACTGAGATCGTCCAGGTTTTCCTACCACTGAGTTCCAATGAGGGTGGCAGATACACTTGGTCAGAAGTTAAGATGATTTTTCTCTAGAGAGAATCTCTCTTGCTCAAGAAGAAAAGGTCTGACCCAGCAAGACCACCACCCACAAAATGTTACAATCACAGAACTTCCATCAGCTTTTAGCTTTTCAGTGCTTCATTTTTTTCTAACAGACACAGACAGCTAAGGGTCACCAGGCATCTGAGCAAAGCTTCTAACATGAATGGCCGAGACCAGAGCAAGAAGACACATAAATGCAGCCTGAATGAGGACTGTGCTAGGAGATAAGACCTTCTGAAACCCATATGAATGTTCACGAAGAGATAAAAGTGTTACCATTTTCATGAAACAAGAACCAAATTTAAAGAAAAAGTAAACGCTTACTTAGAAAGTAAAAATATGACAGCAGAACTTGTGAAAAATTCTTGTTAGAATAGTAAGACAACAAAGTTGAGTAGATGAACCTTATGTCTTCCAGAAATAGCGATAAGAAAAAAGTTGAAATCCGGAAGAAAATTTGAACAGGTTCAACACTAAAATGATCAGAATTCCAAAGACAGAAATAGAGACAGACAGAGAGAGAGAAAAAAGAACAGACACACGCAGCAAATAAGAAAGAGAGAGATAAACCCTAACACAGTAATTGCTGGAGACTACAACACCCAACTTTCAGCACTGGACAGATCTTCCAGACAGAAAACCAACCAATCAACATGAATTTAATCTTTACTACAGACCAAATGGAACTGATATTCAAGGAACATTTCATCCAATGACTGCAGAATACACATTTTTTCAACTCAACACATAGATCATTATAAGTATAGAAGATACCTTAGGTCACAAAGCAAATGCAATCACATTTGAAATCAGGACTAAGAAATTCATTCAAAAACCATACACTTACATGGAAACTGAGTAACTTGCTCCTGAATGACTCCTGGGTAAATAATGACATGAAAGCAGAAATCAAGAAGTTTAAGAAGTTCTTTGAAAGTAATGAGAACAAAGGTACAACTTACCAGAGTTTCTGGGATGCAGCTAGTCAAGTAGTGTTGAGAGAAATTTATAGTACTAAATGCTCACATCGAGAAGTGAGAACTCGGGACAGCTGCGGTGACTCACTCTTGTAATCTCAGCACTTTTGGAGGCCAAGGCGGGCAGATTACAAGGTCAGGTGTTTGAGACCAGCCTGACCAACATGGTGAAACCCCATTCTACTAAAAATACAAAAATTAGCTGGTGTTGTGGCACATACCTGTAATCCCAGGTACTCAGGAGGCTGAGGCAGGAGAACTGCTTGAACCCAGGAGATAAATGTTGCAGTGAGCCCATATCACACCACTGCACTCCAGCCTGGTTGAGAGAACAACGCTCCATCTCAAAAACAAAATTGAGATCTCAAGTTAACTACCCAACATCACAATTAAAAGAATTAGAAACCCAAGAGCAAAGAACACCCTCAAAGCTATGCTGAATGGGAGTGGGGAGAGAGGGCATCTTTATCTTGTGCCAATTTTTAAGGGGAATGCTTTCAGCTTTTGTCCATTCAGTATGATGCTGGCTGTGGTTTTGCCACATGTGGCTCTTATTATTTTGAGGTATGTTCCTTCAATACCTGGTTTATTGAGAGTTTTTAATACACATGAAAGTTGAATTTTATCAAAAGCTGTTTTTGCATCCATTGAGATAATCATGTGGGTAATTTTTTTCTTTAGTTCTGTTTATGTGACGATGACATTGATCAATTTGCATATGTTAAACCAAACTTGCATCTCAGGGAGGGTGGTTGTGACCAGGAATTTATCAGTTTCTTCTGGATTTCTCAATTTTTTTCAGGTTCAGTGGCTCACATCTGCAATCCCAGAACTTTGGGAGGTCAAGGTGGATTGATCACCTGAGATTGGGAGTTCAAGACAAGATGGATCAACATGGAGAAACCCCATGTCTACTAAAAATACACAATTAACCAGACATGGTGGCACATGCATGTCATCCCAGCTACTCAGGAAGCTGAGGCAGGAGAATAGCTTGAACTCAGGAGGCAGAGGTTGCACTAAGCCGAGATCTCACCATTGTCCTCCAGCCTGAGCAACAAGCACAAAACTTCATCTCAAAATTAAAGAAAAAAAAGTGCCTACAGTTGTACATCATATTCTCTGAGGGTGGTTTGTATTTCTGTGGGGTCAGTGGTAATATTGCCCTTGTTGTTTTTGATGGTGGTTATTTGAATCTCTTCCCTTTCTCCTTCATTGGTCTAGCTTCAAGTTTATTATTTTTTAACCAGTATGATTTTAATAGACCAGTTACTGGGTAGTAAATTGAAACATACAGAGTGCCATCTCCAAGAGCACTCATGATTTCATTTGGGTTCTTGAAAATGTTAAGAAGTAGGTTGAGTAGTTTTATTATTTTTTTCAGAAAACCAGCTTTTGAAAAATTTATGTGGAACCAAAAACAGCCAAGGCAACCCTAAGCAAAAAGAGCAAAGCTGGAAGCGACACGCTACCACACTTCAAACTGCATTACAGGGCTACAGGAAACAACGGCATAGTACTGGTACAAAAACAAACACATAGACTAATGGAACATGATAGAGAATCCAGAAACAAAACCAAGCTTCTACAACTATCTGATCTTTGGCAAACTTAACAGAATTTCTTAATATCTTAAATTGCTCAGTGAAATAGAAAATATCAAAGATTCTACCCAACAGGTGGGTAAGAATGAGTCCACGTAGCAACTTTGATAAAGTGAAGGGAAATAACAAACCATTTCTGATTGCTCCCTGCCACAGCCAGTGCATTCAACCTTTTTACTGTCCTTTTATTATTTTTTCATTGTTCTTACAGTCATTATTATTTTCCCCAAATGAAAAAATAAAGTGGTGGGATTGATAGTGAGGAAACAAAGACTGAGAGCTGCCCCTACACCTGAGTTTAATTTTTGAGAAATATAGTCAACATGATGATTTTCACACAGGGCTAGTAGGCCTTCTGCATCTGTTATAATTCCTGTATGTTGTGGACAGAAAATAAATTTTTCTTTCCATGGGAACCTGTTAGTGATACTTGAGAACAATGTCAACTGTAGACCAAAACCGAATACAAGTGGAAATATTGTTTCATTTTTTTTTGCAGTATTCCTTTTTTAACACCTGAGATAGGAGGATAAAAAAGGAAAGAACTATTGACATGTGCAACAACATGGCTGAATATCAAAAACATTTTCTTGACTAAAAGAAACCTTACATATGGAGTGATCACTATATAATTCTATTTCTATCAACTTTAAAATCTGTGCTGAAAGAATATTTAAAAGTATATTTGGGTTCGGGACCGACTAAGAGGAGGCAAAACTGAGCTTTTTAGTCTCTGCTGTAATCCAAAACCCATGCTATAAACTTTGTACACAGTATCTCATTTAATCCTTAAAATCACCCTAACAGGTAGTTACTGTCACTTCCCCTGCTTCAAACAGAACATAAAGCTCAGAGAATCCAGGTACTGTGTTTTTTCTGTTTTTTTTTTTTTTTTTGAGACGGAGTTTCGCTCATGCCACCCAGGCTGAAGTGCAATGGCGTGATCTCGGCTCACTGCAAGCTCCGCCTTCTGGGTTCAGGCAATTCTCGTGCCTCAGCCTCCCAAGTAGCTGAGACTACAGGAACGCACCACCATGCCCAGCTAATTTTTTGTATCTTTAGTAGAGATGGGGTTTCACCATGTTGACCAGGATGGTCTCGATCTCTTGACCTCGTGATACACCCGCCTCGGCCTCCCGAAGTGCTGGGATTACAAACGTGAGCCACCATACCTGGCCCGGTACTGTGTTTTACACCTACTTTGAAGTCACCAATTCCTAATGTTCTATAAAATGTTCTAAATAAAAATAAAGTAGGCAAAAAAGACCATGGTAAATAGCATTTGTACAAATATCTCCTGAGACAATTTTCACATCGATGTCCAAAGACATTTACAAGAATGTTTTCCACAACACTGTTTAAAATAATAGAAAACTACAAGCCACCTAAATGTCCATGGAAGAGTTAGATTCTTTCTCTTATTTCCGTATAATGCAATGCTGTGCTGATGTAGAGATATAATATTCATTTTTAAAATTACATTCACCTTCTTCTCATGGATCCAAGGAGATATGTTAGAGAATATCTATTGCATTTGGACATAAACATAAATACAAAGGAAATAGTAGGGGCTCTCTACAAGTGGTTATATATTGGAAGAGGAAGAAGAGAAAAATAAAAGGGATCATGAACTTTGTATATGCTTTGGTAGTGTCTGGTTTTGTATATAACTTGAATTTTTTCATAAATATATTTTACAGTCTGCATAATTACCAAGTAAGAAGACAAGTAAGTCACTTTAGTAAAAGTTCTTCCAATTACTGCAACTGATTTCTACAGCCAGAATGTTCCCAGAACGTGAAAAGAGGAAGCACTATAAATGGAAGGCAGAAATACTGACACTAGAGGGCCAGAGCTGGAGAGGGTGGATCTAATGCAGCAAATCCATCAGCAGTTCTCATCGCCATCTTTGAGAAACCTCACAATTTTCCGTGCTTAATAAATGAGTTAAACTGAAAACAAATCCATGACAGTGGTGCATGAGAAAGGTTACATGTGTCCCGAATAATAAAGTCTGCGCACAATATAAATTAAAACATACCATTTTACATTCATAAGATTGACAAACAAAAAGTAAAAGCCTAGGAATATCAAGTGAAGCCAAACACAAAACAAGTTTCCCCACATTTCCTGTGGGAATACCAATTGTTACGACTACTTTAAACAATTGGAAATTCATAGTAAAAATGAAGACAAGCCTCCCCTACAATTTACCAATCCCTCTTCTGGGAACACAGTAAGAGAGATTCTTCCCAAGAAACCTGTAAACAAATGTATTGGCACTATGCATGGAATTGTACATCGTGGTATTTCCATATGGTAAAGTATTATTCGGCAGGGAAAGTAAGTAGACCAGAGGTAGACATTTCAATATCAGTAAGTTTTAGAAAAATAAAATGGAGTATAGGAAGCTGCAACTATATCTGTAATGCTTTGTTTTGCCAGGAAAATAAAGGGACACGTGGGGAGGGCAAAGGACAACAAAAACTAAACAATCTGAAACACATGCAGAAAAATACCCATATTTTAAAATTTTCCATTGCTGCTTATATTAGTTTCTGTCTTTTCTATACGCTTGAAGTACTTGATAATCAAGAAAATATAAAAGGCATAGGAAAAAGTATTCTGAGAAAATACATCGAAAGGTTTATGGTTATTAGATTTGGTAAGATTTTAAATGACTTTAATTTTCTTTGTTATATCTCTCTATATGTCCTAGTCATACCATATTAAATGTGTATTTCATTTATGACAATAAAAATGTATTATTTAAAAACTCCATATATATGCAGTTTTATCTGACATATGATGAAACTCTACCAAACATAGATTCAGCAAAAATACTGAGAACAAGAACAAAAATAATGATATTAAGAGTTGTTGACTTTTGGATGGAGCTATGAGTGACTTTACATTTATCTCTAAACTCGATTTTTCTATAGTGGGCAAATAAAATATTTGTGAAAGCTAGATTAAATAGAAAGCTATAGGTTTTAAATGAAAAGGAATTCAAATAATTTTCCAGCATGATAAAATGTTCATATTCCTAAATATGAACTACTTTACAAAAGCACCAGTGATTTTAAAGAAACATTAGATGATTTTTAAAGGAAGTCAGTTATGATACTGCAGTTTATAGTGATACTGAGTGTTTGCTAGCTCCACTAATCAGGATATTAAGTTAATAGTATATAATATGCCATAAAAAAATTATATGAGCAGAGGTTACTGCAAAAGGAGAACACAATGATTTTAAGCGGGCTGGTGACCTGAATTTTTTCCAGTGAGGGGAAACATCAGAGTCATTTGATCAATGAAGTGCCTTTTATAAATCTTCAGGAAATCTCCTATGAAGGCTTTAAGAAGATGGATTTCTTATTACTTCTGATGTATGTTCCCATGAAATTTTTACCATTGCCACCATGGGCCTGCCCAGCCTAAGAGATGGAAACTGTGAGTCCAGCCCACTGACGCCCACCATCAGTAAGAAGATTGCACACTGAGGAGGCCATGACCAGCCTGCTGACTGAAATCTATACTGTAAAAAAATGATGCTGCTCCAGCAATCCTGAAACCCTGCCCTAGGATCAATGAAAAGTGGTGTCAACCTTAGAATTTCAATATGCCTAGGCAGATAGTTATCTTTAAATATAAGAACAGTATCATTTTCTGGAGAAACCAAAAGAATCCAGAAAAATTCTACAGTAGTCTACTCTGCCCTTCCTCCCCGTT